TTTTTTTTTTGGTACTAACAACGCTTTAATGACCTTTCCTTTAACATATAAAGCCCTAATGGATGCAACAAATGCTTACTAAGTTACTTGCATTCGCGTTGGCTGCATATTGCATCAAAATGATACCCCGTAAAATTGATACAATGGCAATTTTCCAGCGACTTTTTATTACATGGCGTGTGTTGGGCATCATCTTGTGGGCTTTCAACAAATATTTGCGTATTATCTACGATTTTCTAAGGAACTTTTTCGTCAATTTTGCCTTTCCGTTGCATCTGGTGTTAGGCATAATTTTTAGCACCAATCAGGAGCAATTCTTCAACAACTTGGTAATTGGTATTGCATGCGTTTCGTGCACCTTCAAGCATTTGTTGCTGCGATTTCATCTTAGTGAAATGATTGAGGTGAACGACATATTTTCGCAGTTGGATGATCGCGTTCTCATCGCCACCGATTATGAATATTACAAGCGTTTTATAGAGCAGCCTTGTAACTTTATGATAAACTTCTTTACACGCTGCTACTTCGCGGTCAGCATAACGGCATTGCTCACAGCCTTAGTCACTGGTGAACTACTCTATCCCGCCTTTGTGCCGCTGAATTGGCAAACATCGATTTTTAAATACATTATGGCCATACTCTTTCAATTTGTTTGTGTTTCGTTGCAAATCGTACAAAATATAGCCAACGATGCATATGGCCCGGTGGTACTTTGTTTGATCTCTGGGCATGTGCACCTGCTGGCGAATCGGGTATCGCGTGTTGGTCACAGCAGCGAGGAGAACAGCGAACAAAATTACAAGCAATTATCCATTTGCATTGAAGACCATAAGTTGCTGATGAGGTAAGGGGCCCCCAAAATTAATGTCACGTGAAAGTATTGAGCAATCATTTACCGAATAAAATTTTCTTTTCCTCTCACAGCACCTCCAAAAAAGTAGAGCGCATTATCTCAGCCAGCTATTTGGTACAATTTGTTGGTGTTGGCGTTAATCTTTGTGTTGGCCTCGTTTATTTGCTCTTCTTCGCCGATACCTACTTTGCCTACGTCTATTATACTATTCACATAACAGCCATTATGATTGAACTCTTTCCGTGCTGCTACTATGGCAGCATGCTGGAGTGCGAATTTCACGATTTGTCCTATGCAATATTCAGCAGCAACTGGCCAACTCAGCCACGCCCATTTCGACGAAATGTGGTTAATTTTACTGAGCTTACGTTAAGAGAGGTGAGCTTGTATGCTGGAGGCATGGTGCGCATCAACTTGGATTCATTTTTTGCTACTTGCAAAATGGGATATTCGTTCTTTACCGTCATACAGAGCATGAAGTAAAAAGGTATGGAGAAAATATTGGATCAAGGAAAAAGAAGAAAGAACTAAAAAAGCTATCAATCTTAGAGAAAAATATTAGTCTTATTAGTTGTGTAGTTGCACATAGTACGAGAGTTACAAGCAATTAAATAAAAGCTTAGCACCTCAAAATCAGCCTTTTTTTATTGACCTAGTTACTAACAAGTGTCTCCAATACTTATATTGAAAATGGACGCCTCAGTGACGCACAGTCGATTCCTGATCCGACCAACATCCAAAAATATCTTTTCGCCTTGTAGCGGTCGCTTCTCAGCAGGTAATGGAAAATCAATGAATGTATTTCTGGCATTGAAACCCATTTTCAGTTCGGAGGAGGTGCGAAACTTTAGATAATCTATCCAAGGCACTTACTGCAAATCGGAGCGGATAAAATCGCCCAAACGCTTAGCCAAATTCCTTTTGATGTGTATACATTTTTGGTTTCGGTAGGGGTAAAATTTGCGAAGCTGTAACGCATAGCCCAGCACAAAATTACGAAGGGCTTAGCATGTGTATTGCAGTAGAAAATTTATAATTTCATTAGAAGCACCCTGTGTCTACTTGCTATTGTAAATGGTTGCATACATTTAGGCATATGCAGAGTAAGAGGAAATGCGCACAAAAGATTATTACTTCCGATTATGCAAACTCTACGCATGTATAGGGTATTGTACATATAAGTATACATACTTAAGTTTGTGTGTGCATACATATGTATGAACTCATTTGTCGCAAGTGGTTTTGATATTCGTAGCATGGTTTTCGGCATAGGTTTAGTAGTCTATTGATAAAAAAGCAGAGAGAAATTTAAAAAAAATACTGGTCATTTTAACTGGGACCGTTGCTAAATGATGGAAATACATGAATATATGTATATACACATACGTATGGATGATATAATAGCTCTGACCTAATACTTTTCGTGTAAAATCCTGTGAAAATGTCAAACAGCAAAATCTCTCTCTGAAGTGAGAGTAAAAAGTGAGTAACAGCAAAGGATACGTAAACAAAAACAACAACGGGTAAAATCTTGCAACTTCATTCTCTAAACAACTCTCCAAAAATCACTCTCAATTACATTATTTTGAAGTACGGGATCATTTTTTCTGTAACTTTCTGCAAGTTCGTGTTAAAACCTGTAACTTCATTGAGTATGGAGTAGGGCTAATACAAGATTGAACAAATAGAAGACGAGAGTACGAGGAAATGCCAAACAAATGAATTTAGCTTCCCATTTTGCAAACAAAAGATGGTATGTTATATGTATTCATGACTTCACCGTAAACCTAGCGACAGATGAAGCTGAACCCCAGATTATATTCCTAAAAGAAAAACTAAATTTAGGAATTTATACAAAGAGAAACAAACAGTAATTGATGTGTTTTCAAGATATTTTAACGCCCTTGATTCAAAAGTACTATATACAGTCATACTGATAATTTCATGTATTAAAAGAATTAAAAATTAAAATGAATAAAAAAATTAAATCAGCAAAATTAATAAAATTAAGGGAAATTAATGTTTAATTTCTAACCTAACCTACATGTGTACGTATGTAACTGAATCACCTAAAAATAATAAAAAGATTATCCTCATTTTTCAGCTTAACTCCCTAATCTGAAATGGAAATAGAAAAAGTGATTAGCCATACAAAATTATAATTATAAAATAATCTCAGATTAAACCGATAACTTTTTGGTGTCCAACCTAGTTTTATCGATTATATTTGCGAATAAGAGGAGGAATGTCAAATGTAAAAGTAAACAAAAATTGACGCTAGCAAGGAAGAGAGGTTTGTAAAAGTATTTTTAATAAAATATTTAGTTAAAATATATTTAAATAGCATAATATGTGTAGCAAAAAAAGTAGCTATGGTCGCGCAGAGAAGAAGCTTAACTTTTCCCCAAATTGTGAGAATAACAAGCACAACTAATTTGACAGCTAACGAGCTTCGTTTGACATTAAGTGCATTTATATGAAAACGTACTTTTCTTCTTTGCCGTACGCATATGTTTACACATCAAATAAAACAAGTAAAAAAGTCTAAGTTAGGACGCAGCCACATTCAGTATCCGGCGCAAGTATTAAATATAGTTTTTTTCACCTTTCCGAAAACTACCGGTACACGATAACAAGGGTGGTTTTATCCCTATTTCACACAACTTCGCTAGTATGTTCAGTTAGACTTACAGCCAGTTTCACCAAACTATTTAAGTGGAAATTAACTTTAATTTAATTTTGTATTTAATTCTCATTTAAATAATTTTCAGTTTCAATAAACTATTTATTTAAGTGAGTAAAAAGTGGTTGCAAAACAGACTAGGCCAGCGAAAGCATTCATTTGTACTGAGAGCTTTTGAAAGCTTTAGCACGCTGCGTTGTAAAAGCAGGGCTGGTATACAAGTAAGCAGCAGATACACAATGATCAGGTGATTAAACGTGTAACACCTCTGAGTGTGGTTATTCTGATTTAATTTTTATTTAAGTGAAGAGCATAGGTCACTTAAATCAAAATTAAAATTGATTGGTGAAACCAAAAATTAATGAGATAAACTTTTATAGTGATAAGTGGGCGGTATCATGCCCATTCTCCAAAATTCCATAAAAACCATCAAGAAAACATTTTTAAGTAGTATAGTCAAAAGTATTATTCTTCCAAGAATTTTGTTTTCATAAAAAGTTTAATAACTCAGTAAAATTTCGTCCGATTTTTTTTAAATAAACACTCGTTTTTTCGTTACATAACTTCCTAGGTATTTTTTTTGGTGCCGCACAATCTTTAGTTTGAATACTAAAAATATTTTTGAGTTGGTGGAAGAGGGTTGTCACCTGTTTAAAAAGTAGAATTCAAATTATTTAATAAGCTAAAAAAATTATTAAAACTAGGAGTGCCAGCTACTGTCGAAATTCGACCGTTTTTCTAGTTTTTTAAGACCCTTGGAGAAGTTTTCTAACTTAGCACGTCGTTTAGCTTATAATGTATAAAATTACTTACCGGAATATCTCCTGCGTTGGAACTAAAACGTGACTTAAATTTGTTATACCTTTTAAGGCCTCCTTTGGCAGGACTTTGAATATTCGATGACTGTGTCGATAAATATATCAATAGCAATATAAATATATCGAAAACAATATAGATATCAATAGCGATTTTATATTGATAACAAAACCGATTATTTTATCGATAACAATATGGGTGATTATATCGATAACAATATCGATCATTATATCGATAAAAATATCCATTGTTATATCGATAACAATATCGATTATTACATCGATAACGATATCGATTATTACATCGATAACGATATCGATTATTTCATCGATAACAATATCGATCTTCAGCCTATTTTTTTCTTCATATTTATCTTTACTTTTGTATATTCCCCTTCACCTTTACCTTGAAGTGTTTAAATTAACCTTGATCTTCGTTGTATTCTTTTTCTTTACGCATCTTCGTTGTTGTTTTTATTTTTACATTTGTCTTTATCCTTTTCTTCATCTACGTACATACTAATTTTTACTTCGCCGTTAAAGAAGTTTCACTTGAGTCAAACCACGCCAACTGTGTCAATGAATTTCCATTGATTTTCTGGAAAGTGAAGACAACTGTGGGAATCTGTAGATAATTATAGAACAAAAATACACTTTGATGAAATTTTTTTTTGAGAGTTGCTGAAGCTTTTCCCTTTACAATAGAAAGATTTGCAGAATAAAATTTGCAAAACAATTAATTCTTTAATAACAATAATTTAAACAATTGCAATTATTTATATATTCTAGGCCCGCGATTGCAGTGAAATTTTGGCACAATATACTCTAAACTCTTGTTTTAAGTTCCAAAAAGAAAAAAATGGTCTTTACAATTTTGAAAGTCGCTATCGATTTTTTTTTGTCACCTTTAAGCGTTGAGCAAATAGCTATTTTCATTTAAGCTTGTGTGAGTGATAGCATTTATACGTTAAATAATGTACGTACTTGTATAATTATTCATTAATTAAAATTCGCTAAACGAACGGAGACAAAATTTATGTTAGCGTATTAATGTATAAATACATAGATATGGGTATCAATCGTAGGCAGTTTGCAAAATCTTTTTTTCTGGACTGTATTTAGCGGGGTTGCTTAAAAATAAAATTAAACTTAATTCATCAGTTAAACAATCGTAATGTCAGATGAAGGATATTTACGAATGTCTCAGCGCGAGAATACTTTTGAACAAGATTGCCACATTTTTAAAAAGTCTATTTAAATTAACTTATACACAAGTTATTTGAAATATGAACGTTCGGGTGTCAAGCGAAAGGGTGTGAAGAAAGCATTATTTTTAACATTTAGAATGTTTAAAGAGAGTTGCCACGTGTTTAAAAAATGACATTCAATTTACTCAATAAGTTAGATGAATTATTAAAAGATGGGTATCGTCGAAATGAGGTTCAAAAGGCTTTATTTCTGAGATATATGGGGGTTGGTTGCCACCTGTTTAAAAAATCCAACTCAGCCTAAATTAAGGCAATTACCTAATTGAAGTGTTTATCAAAATTTGCTTCGAACATAAATTGAGCTTTGTAGAAGTTCATTCGGAGGTAAATTGCAGAGCCTGCCTGTTTATTTCCGAAATATGAGAGGTCAAAATAAAGACCTTGACCTATAGATGTGCAATAGGGTTTTAATTTTTTGAAGTTAGAAACTTTTTATCGGTACCGGGTGGTTTAAAACTTGGTGATATTAAAAACCGACTATCTGAGACCTCTCTTCACATAAAAACGGCTGCACGGATTTAGATGAAATATGACACTGGAATCGCTTATCACTCTAACTAATACATATTTGGAATGGTTTTTAGGTTTTTGAAATTCAATCCTGGGCGTTTTAATGCCGTGCGGGCTCGCTTGTAATGTGTTAATGAGTAGACAATTCTGAAGTAAGGCCCTGTGCTGGTATAGGATGCTGGACAATGACAACTTCCGATTATGCGGCTCTTGGAGTATTCGAGAGAAAGATTTTGCGAAAGATTTACGTGCCTTTACGCTTTGAAAGACGGCGAGTACCGCAGACGATGAAGCGATGAGTTGTACGAGCATTCCGGATATGAACCATATCGGACCATGAAACTTAATAAAAACTTGTAAATAAAAAATATTTCTCATCTCATCTAATCAGTGTTGCCGCGAATCATTTTTAGCGGTAGCCAAATTCCGTTAAAAAAAGGGCTAAAAAAGAGCTAAAAAAAGTCGTTGCGGCTGAAAATGGTAGCTAAATTTTTTACTAACATATACATATATAAGTATACACGCAAACATTTTCAATATGTAATGGTATAGAAAAACAATGAATTCTGGAAAATAAGCTAATATTTTATCCAACCAAAAACCTTTTTGTATAAAAGGGGAAACATACGACACCAACTTGTTGGCTCCATCAAGTGATTGTACCATCAGGCTCGAACTTACCAGGATGCTGGTACAATATTTATTTATTTACAAATGAGATCGAGGAAAAATCGAAATGATTAGAGCTGAAATTTCATAATTTTTCTACCATTTTGTTAAACATTGGTTTTTTTTTTTAATTCACAACTGCAATATCGTGAACTTAATCTTCCACAAACACGGCTTTGACCCATATAGGGCAAGAAATTTCCGCCAAAATACTTTTAACTTAGAAAATTTTGCTAATTTCACCACTCACGACACCAGCATGCTGGTACAATCATAAAATTTTTCAAATAGTTTTTGAAGCCGCACCAGCAGCTGGTACAATCACACCACAAGAACATACACGGTCAATCGACTTGATGGACCATTTAACAAATAAAGCATATTAAGGGCCGTAAACTTATCTATTTTAAACTATAGTAGTATAAAAACGTAAGGAACATACAATACATATATGTATTAATATGAGCCTTTCTTAGTTTAAAAATGCATCTCTTACATAGATGAAAAAAATTAGATCAAATTAAGCATATACAACTTTTTCATGCCAAGTATGAGTAAACTCTCCAAAGGGCTAAACAAAGGGCTAGGGGCAATTTTAAATTTATGTGGCCAAAAAAAGTATGTGGTAGCTAAATCTAGCCACCAAAGGGCTAAAACGGCAACACTGCATCTAATAACTGTTGGGCAACGGTTTTGCGAAAAAAAATTTATAACTGTTTTATCCCTGGTGAAAACAGTGTGGTGGTCTCGTGAACTTTCAGCACTACAAATTGAGCTGCGCATACTGTTCAACAGGACCAAGCGCAAATGGTGTGGTAGGAATGATCGGCTAGTCTAACGATATACATACGTTAAGAAAATCAGGTAGGCAAAGTGAGATATAAGTAGTAGCGGGAAGGCAACATAAAACTTTATCCAGAGCAAGCCTGCATGTAAGAACTATAACCAAAAGCTCGGCTGACGGCTTGGTGTGCCTATTGGCAATGCCAAGAAATAAATTCACCCATCAATCAAGCATATGGGTACTGGTCTCGTTTGAAGACAAAAAGAATACAGGCGTAGATGGCATCGGTCAACCTAAGTTTTGAGAATTTGGTGTTGAAATTAATTAAGAAGATAATATATAACCATATCAGATCGAACATCCTTTTTGTACCGAACTGGAAGGATATTTCCGACAACCAACATTCAAGCTGACTTTGAATGTGGTGAAATAAGTACTCCGCCTTCCTCGATATAAAGGAAGCTTTTGATTTGACAGAGAAATGATAATACAGCCGAACATAGAGTGAAAACACGGCTTCATACGTGAATCACTGAAACCGGAGTGGGTTCCGGTAGTCACCTCTCAGGAGGGGGTTATATCACCATGTCTGTGCAGCTTAGTAGTTGAAATCTTTCTGCGTTTCTCCCTGGAAATGGTATCCGCTGCCAAAGTTATGCGGATGACACAGTCATCATTGCCAAAGGGAAGTTTCAGAGCACCAATGACAAAATTTAAAGGCACTTAGGATTAACGAAAGGATGGTGGGCCAAGTAAAGGCTTAAATTTATGCAGCAATTGCTGTTATCATTCCGTTTACTAATAAAAGAGACCATCTAAACATGAGAAATATAATTTGGGAGGTGGTCGTAGTCGGTTACCGAATTAAATTTGTAAATCAAATCCACGAATGCCAGCAAATCCCGGGATGCAGTCCTAAAATCCGAGTTTCAATGTAGAAAGTATGAAGTAAATTTAGCGTTTCTTTATTTCATTTCTACTTTGCGTGCTGAAAATAAATAGACTATCATTTGATCAACAAATTTACTAAATATGTGCATTATTATGTTTTCAGCTACAATAAGTATATTAAGAATTTTTTTATAATGCCAAAGGAGAATATACATAGAAATCGTTTTTTTTTCTTTTAAAATATTTTTTCACTCTACTTCATATTCATTAGAACAGTGTAAAGTGAGTAAGCCATTTTGCAAGTTGCAACAAACGATGTCAAATGAATGTTTATAATTCCGCCAGCCGTTGGTGTAAGTGGCTTCTTCGAAAGCTCCGTAAAGATGCGTAGATTTTGATGAAAGCTTTTACGCTGTGGAATCCAATTGCACTTGAAGATCGCGTAAGGGAGGTCCTGAAACTCTTCCTGCATTTTACTGCCATAATGGCAAGCCGGTAGAAGTTCAACAGCCATGGAAATAAAATAAACCGTGTAATAAACATAGCCGAAGATATTTTCAACAAAGAGCAACAGAAACACAACAGTCAAGCAAATGTTCAAGCCAACCGAGGAAAACTGTACAATTTGAGTGAACCAAAATATGTCTTGCAGTAGATCGAAAATCCTTGAAATACAACGTATAAAATATTTTAAATATGAAATAAATGGAAATTAATATAATTTAATGTAACCACGCATTTCTCTAACTAACCTCAACAACTTCTTGTGATCCTCAATGCACTCGTTCAACTCGCGTTCATGCTGCGACAGTGTTCTCGATTCATCATAACCAATCTTGGCCACCCGCATCGCCAGCAAACGCACCTGGCCAGACATTACACACAAACTTATCGGCGCAAATGTGTCGTGTGCTAAGTTCTGTATGATCTGCATGGACACACCGAAAATCTGATAGAAAACCGCAACGTAATACGTATACCTGTTTGCTGACCAATCGAAAGGAAACCAAGCCGGATACATCAGTTCCCGCTCAGTTTTGGACAGCACGTCTATGGCTGAGGCCAAAGCGTCAGCTGTATAGGAAGCGCAGAAGACAAGCATAATGTTTCGCACACCAAGACGTATATTTTCATGAAAGTAATCGCGCTCGTCCTTGGCTACAACTCGCTCGTCCAATTGCTTTAGTAGCCGCTGCATTTCACGAATTTTCGGCAACTTATAGCGAAAGAGATAATGCTTGGTGCTACAGGCAACATCGGTTATGTTTATGGCTAAATTCTTGAAGACATCCGCAAGCGTAGGCACCAGAAACAAGCCAACAGTCAGGTGTATAGGATAGAATATGGTAATGAAAATGTTTACGATGCCATCGTAGAGCCATATGTACCACTTGTTTGAGTTGATTGAGATGCCCATTACCTTCCAACACATCCAGAAAATGTTGAAAAATGCGACTGTGTCAACTGGCGCATTGACCAAGGACTTTGATAAAAATAATTTCTTAACCATTTTTTGCTGCCAAAATTTTCTACGAACAAAACTCGTTGAACGCTGTCTTAATTTTGACCAAGACACTGGCTACGAATTTGTGTTTTATATCAATTCTTCAGGCAATAAGTTGAGTTTGATTATTGTGAGAACTTGAAATTAATGAGACACATCGTTCCGCCGTAGTGTGTAGAGACTTAATTACTGTTTTGCATTGGCTTTCGCTAAATTGATTTAAAATTAAGGGTTGTGCAAAAATTAAGCAATTATCTAGCGGCGATGTATGTACTGAATGAAAACTGCGGAAGGTAGTTGAGTAATTAAAAGAGAACTTACAAGGCTTGGCGCAAAAAAGTTGGAAACGTGTATGGTGGTTTTAGTATCGATTTCAGATTTTCATTTCATTTTAAAACAATATGACAATTTTTGAATTTTGTAAACTATACAATTACTAAGAAATAATTTAATGTAAGCATGAACAATGACAACAGGGCAGCCCTTGGAATTTTCGCGAGAGGGATTTTGCGAAATATGAGAAATGAGAGAAATAAGATGATTGAATGCGTGGTGGAATATGAAACCATGATTACGTGCATTAATTTCAGCCTTACTAAAATTGATGGTATTCATGTTAGTTCACACAAAAAAAAAAAAAAATATCACCATTCGTTTAATACAGGTTGCATTAAAATAAAACTTTAATTAGTATCATTTTTCGGTATCAAAATAACCCTAATTAATATAAAAAGAACTGATTATGAAATTTGCGTCTTTCTATCATTTATTTATGAATTTATTTAATGACTATTTTTTTAAAGTAATTACAAGAATATTTTTTTAATGCGCAAGTTTGTCGTTAAAATTTCTACCATTCAATTCAGCATTATTGTTTTAAAAATAATTTTTTTATTTCATTTAGTTTTAGGAACTTCTTTTATTTTGTTAAAAAAGAAATATTTTTTTTTTTGTTTCATAAAATTTTTAGAAGCTTCTTTAAATTATTTAATTTATTAATTTTTTATTTTATTTAATTTGTTTTTGCTTCCTTGATTTCATTTTAAGATAATATTATTTTAAAAAGAATAATGTATTGGTTTTATTTTATTGAATTTCTAGGAACTTATTTTATCTTTGTTATCTTTTTATCTTTTTTTGATTCTATTTACTCTTAATTTTTAGTTACAAGTAGAATGTTTATTTTAATTTTCATTTCATTTTAAGTCGGTTGACGTGATCCAAAGTTATGCGGTAACATGCATAAAAAATAAAAATAATAAAAATAAATAAATATTCCGACGAACTGATAACCTCCTCCTTTTTTGGAAATCGGTTAAAAATAATCACTGTATGGACATTTTTACATTAAATTTTAGTAGGTTGAAGTGCAAATTTCAATACGCTAGAAAATCGCGTTGATTTTTAATAAATTTTTTGTTGACGCTGCTGGGCATTTTCTTCCATAGAAATTTTTAGCATGGTCGAGCATACTTTATATGGAAGAAAATGCGCAATACTGTCAGCCAAAAAAAAATTATTAAAAATCAACGCGATTTTCTAGCGTATTCAAATTTGCACTTTAACCTATTTAAATATAATGGGCTATAAAACTGCATACCCAAAATTTAAAAAACAAATTTAATGAAAAGTTTGAGATTTTTGTGGGATTATGGTAAAATTTGTTGAATTAGTATTATAATTTTTTGAATTTTTATAATTTTTGTATAAAGTTTTAAAAGTAGATTTATATGGTGCGTGTTATATAATGCGCTAGATCTTTATACAAAAATATTAAACATCTAATAAACAAAAGTAATATAGCCAAAACTGGTCAAAATAGAACGTTTTTCTTTTTTTATTCCTTCCACAAATGTATGTATGTACTTTCAAGACTGATTTTATTATGCTAGTGTCATGATGATTAATAAAGAAATATTTAAATATGCAAATACATAAAGACATATTTATATGATTTTTAATAAACGATGTACACGTAATAAATTGAAAACTTTAATTATTCAATTCTTATTACCTTTTAACTTCCAGTTCTCTATATTTGGTTTACGCCCTATTGGAAAATTACAACCGGAACAGATACAGACAAGATTTAACAAACTACATATATTTTTTTTAATTTATGTTACATTTTTTATAGTGCACTTTAAATCTAAAACCGTATAAACTCTAATTTCATACCTTGTGCAATATTTAAACAAAATTCAACAAACTTTCGTGAAACTTCAATTATGTTGTCAGAATAATACAAAAAAAAAGTATACAGGTTTCCCGTTAAATTTTCGTACAATAATGTGCAAGTTTGATGTTGCTGAAAAATTCTTCTAAACGAAAAAATTATAGAACGTACTTTTTATGTTTGTTAACAACACAAAACTAGACCAACACCAAAAAAGCAGCCTGTGTTATCGTTAACGACAACAACTGATTTAGCGCTAACGAATGTTGTTAGGGAAGTGCTTACTGAATAGCTAAATTGATAAAATTTTCGTTTGGCTGACTTAAAAATAACAAGTGTTGTTAAAATAGCCTACTCAAAAGTAATCTATGTATATGCCCAATGAGACAGATATGTGAGTATACTTAAAATTGCGGTACAAAACTTACAAATGTTGATTTTTTTAATTTAGATTAAAAAATAATAATTATTTTCCATCCCTGTTTTAAACGAAAAGTTTTCTGTTATTTATATTTAATAAAATTAAAAACTCCAATTTTTTTACAAACTCAATTCGTTTTTGAAGGTTACATTTTTATTGTCAAAAACACAACTCTTTCCGGAGGTTTACAGTTTTTGAAGAAGAGAGCTGGCAACACTGACTTGCACACAAAATCGCAAGTGTACAAATTACTCATACGCCATGGAGTGCAAGCAAATTAAGGTCAACCAACCACTGCATTAAATGCGAATGCTTCTGTGAAAGGTGTTTATGTATTTTAATTTCGCATTTATTAATTATTTACAACACTTATTTACATTTCCAACGCCTACCCAAGTGAAAGTGTTGCCCCTCTGAGCTTTCATTGCAGCAGCCAGCGAATTAATCCATACATATTTATGCGCTCACACAAAGGTATTCGAAACCATTCATTTCAACCTTAAGCAGCAACCACAGAGACGAGTAAGCATTGAATACCGCGTAGTGGTGGTTCTACTTAATGACGGCTCTTAATTAAATGCATTTCAACATACAATTCTCAACCTGTGCACTTAAGTAGGAAAATAACTTCCATATTCACATTGCAATTTAACTCAGGGATATACGCATAGTTCCGTAAATTGAAATCGCCCCCCAAAAGTAAATTTAAATTGGGGTCACACGATGCAATTGTGTCAACAGCGTAGATATAATTAAGAAGACGGCAAGTGAAGTAAAGACAAAACGATAAAGGATGTTCAACAAGCGCAGTGCAAATTATAATAATAACGAAAAGAAATTCGAAGGACAAGTGACAGCTGAAATGACTGAGTAGCTTAACATTTTTACTTCTTACTGATTAAATACACATTACCTCTCCGCCACAATGCACATTACTGTAAAATTTTACACATGATACACATATGCAGCTACATACACTTAAATATTAATTAATTGATGTGGTATATGCATTGCACATTTGCTTCGAAAGAAAACCCTTGCGGTCATGTTGTCACTTAATGGGACATAATACCGTATGTACATAATAGCTGTAAAAATTATCTTTTGTGTATTTTATTCGGATGATGGTTTCGTGCGCAGAAGTGGAAATCATTTGATTGCCATTCACTTGGGATGGCCACAGAACTTTACGCGTTGGCGATGGCGAATACCGCACACAATTTAACGATGAGCTGTGGGAGCTTTACAACGATATAGGCATAGTGCAGCAAATTAAAATTCAGCTCCGCTGGCTTGGCCATGTCGTTGGAATGGACTGAAACGCTCCTGCTCTGAAAATATTCAACGCGGGCCGCGATTCTGGTAATAGAGGAAAAGTCTTCCTTCTCTGCGTTGGAAAAAACCAGGTGGAGAAGGACCTCGTTTCGTTTGGCATTTCCAATTGGCGTCAGTTAGCACAAAAGACAAACGACTGGCGAGTGGATAAAAAAATAATTGTTGCTTCCATCCAGTCTTGGACATGATTATCATTCCAATACATAAATTGAGGAATTCCCTTATCATAACTTAAGTTTACTCTGGTCGTCACTTACCATTCGTAAATTATTTCCGTATTATCTGGAAAAAGAAGGCTATTTATGCCTGCTAGCATGTCAATTTCTTCGCAATCTCATCTTTCTGTCTATTGTTTTTTCCTTTAAAAAAGAGGTGTCCCTCTTCTTCCAGTGTCATTCTGCGTTTGTTTCAGTAACCAATAATCTCTTCCTCAGCATGAAGAGATTTGGAAATCGTATCTCACTGCCCGTTTATATCCAGGCGACTGTGAGCTTCTTGTTTAAGCAGAATTTAGAGGTAATTGCCGACTTTTTTCGCGCTGTCCGATACACGTTCTTTATCATACAGAGGGGCATGCGGACCTTAACCAAACAAGACAGTGGTCCGGGTCGGTATTCCTTTCTCACATGGAATGCACGTCAAAAACGATCGTTGCTTATCTTTCATCTATCATAACCTGATAATTTGGTGTTTGGTTCTTTGATTGGTGGATACCATTGTAGCTCTGTGGAGGTTTCGGTGTGGTAATACTAGCTAACATGTTCCCTGGCGCATCGTAGTCGATCGGCCTCTCTTCTTTATCGGAAGTATTTTCATGAGGGCTGATAACTCCGTGCCTTATTTTCCCATTTTAGCGCTAAAGTCGCCAAGCATAGTTTTAATATCGTAGAAGAGATAAAAACATGTATAACATAGTGTCTTTCGGATAGCCACGACTGAAAAGAGACCTGATAAAAAAGATATCGGAGGCTCTTTTAACAGTTATCGTATGGAAATCTATGATTTTCCGTGTTATGTGTATCCAAAAAAATAACTATAACAGAAACGAACAGCACTTACCGAATATGATTTTAC